GTTTACGTTTATATCACTTTTTAGTGATATGGCTTACATTTACTTTAATCTCTTTCTGCCTGTAGGACATCATATGAATTCTTGAACTTTCAGCAGTTATAGCAGGATGATGCCTGCTCCTAGAAGCATTATCCCAGTGTCATCATGTAGGCCGTGTCCCGGGGTGGGCTCCCCAGGATACAGTGAGGTCACGGACGAGGAAAGCAACCCCAACACCAGCTTTTGTCACAACAGAATTTTACTTTATGTGGCAAATAAACACAACCACAAATGCTGAGAACATACAATAAATTTACATACACCCAGCTCAAAGGCTGAGACCCTTGTGCTGCACAGCACGGCGCCTCCTGATGGATGAAGGTAGAAGGTGTAGTAATTTACCTACTGGGGGGCACAACTAAGCTGCCACACCTTACCTGTTATTACCCTATGAGAGCAGGAATCAGTGTATGGGGGTACGGTATGGGCTAGCCTGCGGTGCAGCACACACAGCTTACAATCTTACACAAATCTACAGTATTCCCCCCTCCCAAACCTGGTCCTGTAGCACATGCCTGAGTATTCCTTCTGAGCAAAACGCCAGTCTGGCTTGAGTTTGTGGGATTTTATCAGCTCTCCAATGTGAAATGTCACTTTAAGTTGTGGAGTCCTTCCAATGATCAGTAATAACACTTGTGGCCTGACACAAACAAAGAGACCCTAACTAACTATAGGCCTGGACTCAGTCTCAAGGCGCCAACACTGAAATGAGGTGCGTGCACGATCTTACCAACCCGGGTCTGCTTTTATCCGCTGGTGACTCTGAACAGAACAAATGTCTCTCCAACAAGCATGCGGTGTCGCAGTGTATGTTGCTTTGTTCCTCTGCTCTCATCAGCATTCCTGGCAGCAATCTTCCTTTCTCTGAATAGGATCAGGGTTCTTGGACACGATCAGCTTCACTTATCTGCAGCTCTGGTTACTGAGGGATGCTCTCACACCTGGATGCCATCAGATTCTCTGCTCACACGGCTCCTTCATTCATCACCATCCTCCCAAACATGGCTGCTGTCTCTCTTTCTTCCTGTTCTCTAAAACTGTCGTGTGAAAACCCCACCGCTTCATGAATATAGAAATATCTATGCAGTCTGAGGCTGTATTAGGAAAACAGTGGCATCTTGTGGCTAAACCGCAGAATGTCAATCCAGAACATTTAATTTACTCCATATAAACAGTGTTTCAAACAATGAGAGCTCTTTCCCCATCTCACAATCATTTCCAGCTGACAATTTCCTGTAAAGTAGATGTGATCCGAGTGGCTATACAGCCACTTGATCAAGTCTACACTCTGCAGAATGGGGTGCCTCCCTCCGGGCTTTCCTGGGCTCTCCCGTCGGATTGGAGAGTTTGGGACCACTATGGCATCTCTGGCACTGAGCAAAGCAAGAGGAACTGATGTTGTCAGGGGCGTCCCTAGGGTTGATGTCACCCGGTGCGATAACACGTGGTGACACCCCCTTCCGACGATCCCCACAGAATGGATTGGATCTGCGGATTGAGCATAATGGATCGGACTCCGATCCATTATACTCCCCAAACCACATATCCGATCCATCCTGCGGGGATCGTCGGCTTTCTTTACAACTTACCTTTTTGTGGAGCGGGTCCAGTGTCACCCCGTATAGGTTGCATGCCGTCGATCCCCGCAGGAGTGTTCGGATCTGCAGATTGAGCTTAATGGATTGGAGTCCAATCCCTTATGCTCCCCAATCCGCAGATCCGATCCATCCTGCGGGGATCATCGGCTTTCTTTACAACTTACCTTTTCGTGGAGAGGGTCCGGTGTCACCCCATGGTGTATGCTGATGATCCCCACAGGATGGTTCGGATCTGCGGATTGAGCATAATGGATCGTTCAATCCATTATGCTCCCCAATCCACAGATCCGATTCATCCTGCGGGGATCGCTTGCTTTACAACTTACCTTTTCGTGCACGGGTCTGTGTCACCCCGCGCGGTAGGCGCACGCCCTGCCTCAGAACGCCACTGGATGTTGTTCCTCTGTCTCTGAGACCAGAAACCAGAAGTAACGAAGATCTCGTCACGTCCGGTTACATTATTCTGTTTGCCAGCCCTTATCAGCTCGAACAACCATCTGATCAAACCGATCTCAGTTTTAATCAGAAGACAGTTTTATCAGAAGCTTTTTAATAGAGGCCAGAGAAGACATCTGGGGTCTAATAGACCCCAGATCTCTGCATAAAGAGGAGCCGTCATGGCCTGTGCTCTCACATCTCTTTTGATAAAAATAAAGCAAGGACAGTATAAAAAAAAAAGTTTTAAATAAAATAAATAATAATAAATTATAGACATTTTTTTTTAAAAGTACCCCTGTGCCCCTATGCTCATGTGTAAATGTGAACGCACGCATATGCAAATGGCGATGGCACCACAGAAGCGAGGTATGGCTGTGAACGTCAGAGTGAAAGCAAAAATTCTAGCGCCAGACCTCCCCTGTAACTCCAAAACTGGAAACCTGTAGAGGCTTTTAAAGTGTCGCCTGTGGAGATTTTTAGGTACTGTAGTTCGGAGCCGCTCCACGGGCGTATGCACAATTTTAACCGCCGTCTCATGTTCGGGCCATTTCTGAAAATTTTTTTCACATGTAACAATCAGTATTTTTTTTTTTTTTTTGCTGGGAAATTACTTAGAACCCCCAAACTTTATATATATCTTTTTCTAAAGCAGAGGCCTACAGAAGAAATTGGTGGGTTTTGCAATTTCGTACATTACACAGTATTTGAGCTGTGGTTTTTCAAAGGCAAATGTTTTTGGGGAAAAAATTGCACTTTTTTGAATTTTAATGCAAAAAAATGCAATACATAACCCATTTTTTTTTAATATAAAAGATGATGTTACGCCGAGTAAATAGAGACCAAACATGTCACGCTTTAAAATTGCGCACACCCTTACAAAGGCGACAGTGTAAATTTTACTATCCATAGCTGATGCTTTAGAAGCCTTTACAGGTTACAACTTTAGATTTACAGAGGAGACCCGATGCTAGAATTACTGCCCATGATCTGATGTTCATGGTGATACCTCACATGTGTGGGTTGGTCACTGTTTGCCTGCATGTAGGACTGATGCGCACATTCGGCTTTTGTGCGTGAGAACAGGAGGACAGGGGCACTTTTTTTTATTTTTATTTAAATGATTATATTTTTTTTTTTTTTATTTAAATGATTCATTTTTTTTTTTATTTACATGATTCGTTTTTTTTTTATTTAAATGATTCATTTTTTTTTTTTATTTAAATGATTAATTTTTTTTATTTAATGATTATTTTTTTTATTTTTGTTTTTTTTTTTTTTTATGTTGCACTGTTGCATAACCGATGCGCTTTTTTTTGCTGTCACCTGGAATGTAAAAATGATTATTTGTGACAGCAATAGGCATGTGACAGATACTCTTTTTTTTATTTAAATGATTCGTTTTTTTTTTTTATTTAAAAGATTAATCTCTTTTTATTTACATCTTAATTTTTTTTATTTAAATGATTTGTTTTTTTTTTACTTAAAATTAATTTTTTTTTTTTACATTTTTAACAAAACACCAAAATGTAAACATTTTTGTGACAATGCTTTTTTTTTTTTTGAAAACACCAAAATCTATGGTGCTTTTTTTTTTTTAACTTCCGAGTTATACAGGCCATACATGGTTCGAAAAGTGAAACATTTTTCGTTCTCTAATCCGATGGTGCCACCAATGATTTAAAAAATCGGTCTTTTTACACAAATTTTCCAACATGCCTGATAAAAACAAATGGGGAGGAACTACGAAAATTGGTCGATGCCATCGCCCCACTAACAGAAAGAAAATCGTCCGATTATTCTTAGGTCCAATTTTCGTACAACATCTCGAAACGTCGTTCGTTGCGTAATCCGATGATGCCACCAATGGTGCCACCAATGATTTCGAAAATCGGTCGTTTTTCACGAATTTTCCAGCATGCCCGATAAACAAAATGGGGAGGAACCATGAAAATCGGCCAATGCAATTGCCTGACTAACAGAGCGAAAATCAGCTAATTATTCTTAGGTCCAATTTTCGCCTGAAAATTGAAACGTCATTTGTTCTGTAATCTGATGGTGCCACCAATGATTTCAAAAATTTTCGTTTTTCACGAATTTTCCAGCATGCCCGATAAACGAAATGGCGAGGAACCGTAAAAATCAGCCAATGCCATTGCCCCACTAACAGAGAGAAAATTGGCTGATTATTCTTAGGTCCAAATTTATAAAATCGAAAATCGAAATCTCTAATCTGATGGTGCCACCAATGATTTCGATAATCGGTCGTTTTTTTCACGAATTTTCCAGCATGCCCGATAAACAAAATGGGGAGGAACCATGAAATCGGCCGGTGCCATTGCCCCACTAAAAGAGCGAAAATCAGCCGTTTATTCTTAGGTCAATTTTCATCCAAAAATCGAAACGTCGTTCATTCTCTAATACGATGGTGCCACCAATGATTTAAAAAATCGGTCGTTTTTCACAAATTTTCCAGCATACCCGATAAACGAAATGGGGAAGAACCATGAAAAATTGGCCGATGCCATTGCCCCACTATCAGAGCGAAAATCGGCCGATTATCTAAGGTCCAAATTCGTACGAAAATCGAAACGTCGTTCGTTTTCTAATCCGATGGGGCCACCAATGATTTTGAAAATCGGTCGTTTTTCATAAATTTTCCACCATGCCCGATAAACGAAATGGGGAGGAACCATGAAAATCGGCCGGTGCCATTGCCCCACTAACAGAGAGAAAATCGTCCGATTATTCTTAGGTCCAATTTTCATCCGAAAATTGAAACGTCATTTGTTCTGTAATCCAATGATGCCACCAATGATTTCGAAAATTGGTCGTTTTTTCACGACTTTTCCAGCATGCCCGATAAACGAAATGGGGAGGAACCACGAAAATCGGCCGGTGCCATCGCCCCACTAACAGAGAGAAAATTGGCTGATTATTCTTAGGTCCGATTTTCATGCGAAAATCATTCGGAATTCGAACTATGTATGGCCTGCATAAACTGGAAGTGATGTCAGGCCCAGGGGCGGACTGACCATTCGAGCACTTGGGCACTGCCCAAGGGCCCGAGGTCAGTAGGGGGCCCCATGAGATGCCCCTGGTACCTTTTATAGGCTTTTTTTGAGTGTGGGCAAGGACACAGGGGCCCAATGATCCCCTTTTGCCCGGATCCCCTATTGCCCGGGGGCCAATGAGCTGTCAGTCCGCCCTTGGTCAGGTCATTGCTTCCGGTTTGCTATAACAGAGGGTTGATCAAGGCCAATCCCGGCTTTATTCGGCTGTCCAGCCAGCTGTTGGATTCGCCGGCTTGTCGCTTGGGTCTCCCGGTGGGATGGGAGAGCCGGAGCAAGATGCGGAATACAACGGAGGGGAGTCCCCTCCCGCTGCTTGTAATAGCAATCAAGCGGCTAGGTAGCCTCTCCGCAGGGGCAGACTGACCGTTTGGAAACTCAGGCACTGCCCAAGGGCTCGGGGTCAGTAGGGGGCCCCATGAGATGCCCCTGGTACCTTTTTCATAGGCTTTTTTGAGTTTGGGCAAGGACACAGGGGCCCCATGATCCCCTATTGCCCAGGGGCCCCATGAGTTGGCAGTCCGCCCCGCCTCTCCGATTGCTGTTACAAAAAAGTCGACCACCGGCTCTAAAAAAAAGATATCAGGTTGATGCCCGATTTAATCACCGAAAGACCAACCACCTACGGGTACGTCGCTGGACAGGAAGTAGTTAAACCATGATACGGTAACTGTATCTATTTACTTGGCGCAACAACTTCTTATATATTTGACCAGAATTGGGAATTATATTGTGTTTGTGTGCACCAAAAATGCATAAAAGTGTATCCCCCCCCCCCCGGAAAAAAAAACGATGCACAAATATCATGTGACATAAAAAATTGCAGAACCCACCATTTTATTTTCTAGGGCCTCTGCTTAAAAAAGTATACAGGCGTTCCTCGGTTTAATGAACATCCTGGTTAACGTAATTTTCAGTTTACGAATGAAAATCTATTGAAAATAATGCCTCGGGTTACACGTTTTTTACGAATTTTTTTTGCAATATGAAGTGTATGTCGGTGCCGATTTTTAAATGCGATTGACAGCCTTTTTTTTCCTTCACTATAGCTCACAGAATTAGCTGTCACTTTCCCCAGAACTAAAAGATACTTTCTTTTATCTTCTTTTACGGGCAGCACAGTGGCTAAATGATTAGCACTTCCACCTGGCAGTACTAGGGTCGTTGGCTCAAATCCCAGCCACGGCACCACCTGCCTGGAGTTTGCATGTTCTCCCTGTGACTGCGTGGGTTTCCTCCCACACTCCAAAGACATGCTGGTAGGTTAATTGTTAATTGGCCCGTGTATGTATGAATGTGAGTTAGGACCTTAGATTTTATGCCCCTTGAGGGTTAGGGACTGATGTGATTGTACAATATATATGTAAAGCGATGTGTAAATTGATGGCGATATATAAATACCTGAAATAAATAAAAAATAAATCTCGGGAAACAAACTAAAAGGAAGCATTGTTTCTTTTAACTCAGGGAAGGAAACATTGTTTCTTTTATCTCGGGAAACAAACTAAAAGGAAACATTGTTTCTTTTATCTCGGGAAACAAACTAAAAGGAAACATTGTTTCTTTTATCTCGGGGGAAACGGTTTCTTTTATCTTGGGGAAAACTAAAAGGAAACATTGTTTCTTTTATCTCAGGGAAACAAACTAAAAGGAAACATTGTTTCTTTTAACTCGGGGAAACAAACTAAAAGGAAACATTGTTTCTTTTATCTCTGGGAAAATAAACTAAAAGGAAACATTGTTTCTTTTATCTCCGGGAAATAAACTAAAAGGAAACATTGTTTCTTTTATCTCGGGAAACAAACTAAAAGGAAACATTGTTTCTTTTCACTCGGGGAAACAAACTAAAAGGGGAGCACAGTGGCTAAATGGTTAGCACTTCCGCCTGGCAGTACTAGGGACGTTGCTTCAAATCCCAACCACGGTACCTCGTGCCTGGAGTTTGCATGTTCTCCCTGTGCCTGCGTGGGTTTCCTCTGGTAACTCCAGTTTCCTCCCACATTCCAAAGACATGCTGGTAGGTTAGCTGGCTCCTGTCTAAATTGTCCCTAGTATGTGTATGTATGAATGTAAGTTAGGGACCTTAGATTGTACACCCCTTGAGGGTTAAGGACTGGGACTGATGTGAATGTACAATATATATGTAAAGCACTGTGTAAATCGACAGCGCTATATAAGTACCTGAAATAAATAAAGGAAACTTTGTTTCTTTTATCTTGGGGGAAAGTGACAGCTGATTCTCTGAGCTATAGGGAAGAAAAAAAAGTCAGTAATTACATTTAAAAACCGGCACTGACCTATAGTGACAGCGACTTTTTTTTTAACTTTTTTTCTGACCTCGGAAAAGATTAACCCCTTGACGCTGATCACACGCAAATGTGCAGCCTCTCGGCATCTGGGCCTTGACGCCAAGTGGCGTGCAAAAAATACATATGTGCCGAGAGAGCGCGCGCTTCCAGCACATATGTCCGCAACTCCCGGAAAGGTCCCGATCGAAAAGAGGAGATCGGACCTTTCCAGTTCGATGTGACCGCCGTGACGGCGAATCACGGTGGTCACATGACCTTAAAACCCCGCCCCTCCTCCCGGCTTCTGAAACTCCTAAAGGGCCAGAAGGTGCCGGCGCGAAGAGATTAATTGGTTTTCAATGTATTCCAATGGGAAAGCGCGTTTCGGTTTCAGATTTTTTGCAATATGAAACATACCGGAGAACGCATTGAATTCTGAATCTCTTAAAGGGCCGGGAGGTGCCGGCGCAAAGAGGTTAATTGGTTTTCAATGCATTCCTATGGGAAAGCGAGTTTCGGTGTACGATTTTTTTTGCAATGCGAAACGTACCGGAGAACGCAATAAATTCTGAAACTCTTAAAGGGCCGGGAGGCACCAGCGTGAAGAGGTTAATTGGTTTTCAATGCATTCCTATGGGAAAGTGCGTTTCGATTTACGATTTTTTTGCAATACGAAATGTCCTGGAGAACGTATTAAATTTGTAAACTGAGGTACGCCTGTAAAATGTTTGGGGTCACTTTTTTTAAAAAAAAAAATGCAGATTTTTCCACGTAGGAGAGGAATATCAAAATTGGCCCGGGTGGCGGGCGGGTAAGTGACCCTTTTAGGGAATCTTTCTGTAGACGAGGGGTGGAGGGCAGGCGCTATTTTTAAACAAAATCTGGATCTGCTGTAATAATTCTGTTTTGTTTTCTTTCTATACATATTATTTGGAAATTTTTTTTTTTCCTTTGAACTTAAAATGAAGTGACAGATTTAGAGAATCACAAGAGCTGGTCACTGTGTGGCGGGGAAATAATCAGTAATATGGTCTCCAGGAAGACACATGACGCCGTGCTTGAAGGCCGTGTTACAACAAAGCGGGCGAGAAGACCTGTCCTATTAACTCCATGTTCACCTTTCATGATTTGATTTGCTGGAGACACCCGCAGTCCATGCTGTAGGTGTCTTTTTCCATCTCTCCGGAAGATCGCTTTAAACAATGACACGTGTGCTCCTCCTAGTGGTTATTTTTGAGCATTGTCCCGTCAACTTTTTTTTTTTTTTTCTTTTTTAACATGTCACTTCTCTGTGACTTTCCTTCATCACATTCTGAAGGACTGATCTATTCAGAAATTATAGATTTGGAGTGTTTTTGCACGGAAGAGCGGGCAAATATTGACAGGCCAAGATGTGCCATGCTGATAGACTCATCCCCAACAATACTGAGTGCTGGAATCACATCAAAAGGGGCTTCAACAAAGGATCAGTGTAAGGGTGTGAACACTTATGCAAGCATATTATTTTAGTTTTTTTATTTTTACTTCCCTCCACCTAAAAGATTTCAGTTTGTTATTCAGCTGAGTTGCACTATAGGTCACATTAAAGGTGAAAAAGTTCTGAAATGATTTATCTTTGTCTCATTTTTTTTACTTCTCAGAAACCTGACAATTTACAGGGGTGTGTAGACTTTTTATATCCGCTGTATAGGTGGTGTTGTTTGCTGGCTTCTTATACCATTACACTCGGGGACTTCAGATGCAAGATCTCCCTATCATAGTTTCTTGTCCTGTTTCTCAGTCTCACTTCTTCTGCTGCAAAATGAGTGTTCATGCTGCTTCTACCATATTCTTCATAATCTCACATGGAGGAAAAATATATTTTAAAAATATTCTTCCCAAATATATTGTCATATATTCTTCATATTTTTTTTAACATATAAAAAAATCATTTTTAACATATATTTTTACATATATTTGTAAACGCATTCCAAAAATGTGGATTAAAGGTATTTTTAAAGACATCCAGTATATTTGAAAATGTATTTTTAACAATATTTTTGCGCACTGTATTTTATATCCACTGTATAGGTGGAGTTGTCTGAGTCACTTGCTGGGCTTCAGATGCAAGATATCCCTATCATAGTTTCTAGTCCTGTTTCATTTTTCAGTCTCACTTCTCCTGCTGCAAAATGAGTGTTCATGCTGCTTCTACCATATTCTTCATAATATCCCACATGGAAGAAAAATAAATTTGAAATACTAAAATTTTTGGCTGTAATCAATTTTACAAAATATATGAAAAATATTTTTAAAAATATATATTTTTTACCCAGTTGCCACCCAACCTATAGCCAGATGGCGGCCAGGCGAACAGCTCATCCCTCCAGGTGGACACCATATGGCGTCCTTTCAGGAACGTGCATTGTGCATGCCCGCAGGGCCAGCGCTGTGGCACAATCAGTTACACAGCCGACCTCGGACACGGCCGATGACAAATCTGTGTACTGACCCGTTGCCAGTACCATGTGACCTGCTGTGACCAATCACAGCAGGTCACATGACAGTTGTATACAATGAATGGCTTCCTTTCATGCCATCCATTGTATAATAGTGTGTCTAGCTGTGAATGGTCACAGCGATCACATGCACAGGCTAGGCCAATCACA